AAAAAAAAAAAGAAAGAAAAAAAATTAAGAATTATTAATTACATAAACTAAAAAAAAAACGATAAAAGAGAAATTAAATTCCTTACAGGGTTGAGAGTGTTATGTTCTTTGAAGCTCTCCTCAAGAAAAGCCGATTGCTCCTTGCTAAGCCTCAGCTTTTTTCTGCCCATCAATAATCCATTTTCTTCCTCATCACTCCCTCTGGACGGAGTCCCTCGATCCGCCTCCGGCTCGGCCTGTTCGCCGGCACTACTATTCATTTGCTCCAAATCCCTTTTCCCCCGATTTGAATCCGACCCGAAAATCGAAAAATCCATCCGAAAAGACGAAATCGGATCAACGCCTTTGTTGTTCGTTTGTTTACATGATTTGGTATGGAGCCAGTTGAAAGGGAAGTTGTTTGATGGCGGCTGAGTTTTGTGGACCGGTGAGAAAGGGAGGAGATCGAGCTGGACCGGCGCCGGATCTGACGAGGAGCCGTCGGAAAAACCCGGGTCCTTATCCCGGCCGGTAGTTTTCGCTTTACCTGCTGCATCTTCATGATCTGTAGCCATGCAGAACCCTAAATCCTTGCCCAGGATTTGCTGCGATTTCTCCATAAACGAAAAGGCTTTTGGTGTATCGCCCAAGCTCAAAGCTAACTCCATTTTTTTTTTTTTTTTTTGAAGATGAAATTGTTGATAAAAATGAGGAATATGAATAAAAAGAGATGAAAAGTGATTTTTAATTAATTTGGGAGTGGCGATATATAGGAATTAAAGAGAGAGAGAGAGCTTAGCCTTAGAGAGAAGTGGGAAGTGATGAAATTCTATATATGATTCTTAAATAAGTGATCAGATCAATATTAGTATTTAAGAGGGACGGAGGGGCCTTTTAATTAGTACTTATGATTTTTGGCTTATGCAGACACAAAATTTAAAAAAAAAAAAAATAAAAATAAAAAATAAAAAAAAGGGAAAATAATAAAGGTTTGACAAAATGCACGTGAATATATTATATGAAGATATATAATATATATTATGGGTTGTACTCTGCTAGAGCGTACCCATGCTATCGTATGTGTGTGTGTGTGAGAGAGAGTAGGGGTGGTGGGGTAGGAATATATTTATTTTGCCAACAAGTGCAATCATGTGAATTTCACCTCTTTTTTTTTAATTATTATTATTATTGCATTAGGGTCGAGGTACATGATATAAAAATATAAAAGAAATTATGAAAGCATGATGATTTTTTCATAAGTGTAAATAGACATGATATAAAAATATAATCATTAGTTTTGTAGGTTTCTTTTGTTAGCATTTATTTAAATATAATCAAACAATACTATAGATAAATTAATCAAATAAATAATAATGAGTTTTTTTTCAGTTAAAAATTAAAGTTTGGAATGTACTTCTAAATTGCATAATAATATTTTTTTTTTATTGTTTTATGAGAATGTGATCATAAGAAAATCTCTTGTTTTAAAAATATTTTCATTGTATATCATTTGTACTATGTAGGACTAGCAATGATGCAAATACATACGTAATGTGTTTTATATATGTTATAGTTTGATACGGTTGTCAGATTGTCGGAGGGTGAATTATAATAACAAGCCGTGGAGACAAAACATTCGGCCAACTTGTACTATATGGTTCATATTAATTTTCTTATTGGTACAGATGGCCCGTCAACGGGCCGAAGCCCGGCCCAGTCCGCCGCGCCACAGGCCCTCCAACACATGGCCCTCGACCGGCCTGCTAAAAACCAAGGGCCGGTTTATAGAATCGATCCAAACTGGTCCGGCCTTTTTTAAAAAAAAATAACAATGTGGCCGTCGTCTGACCCGGACCGAACCGTGACCGTACAGGTCCGGTTCGGGCCAGTTCACGGGCCGGGCCCTTGGACAAGTCTACTTATTGGTAGGTGTAAAGCCCATGGTTTTTATTTTTCACTTAATTAAATAAAAATACTCATAATTTCATCTTCAGTATAGGCATGTGATTTCCTATAACTTATTTTTAAATTTTATGTTATTCATATCATTTTCAGCTAATTATTATTTATTTAGAACGAAACTGTGTTAGAAGTTAAAATTAAGGGTAAAATACTTTTTCTCATCCGAACTATCATGGTTTTGGCGCATCACCATATAAACTATTTTTTTTGTACAAATCACTATATGCACTATACGGGTTTGTCAATGTACCCCTAAACCAAATATAAAAGCGGTTTTGACTGAAAAAACTGTTTGGTCAACATATGTGCCCCTAAATATATTTACAAACCACCATATGAACTATCACGGGTTTGTCAATGTACCCCCTAAACCACTTTTATATCCGGTTTAGGGGACATATTGACAAACTCGTATAGTTCATATGGTGGTTTGTAAAAAAAATAGTTTATATGGTGATGCGCCAAAACCGTGATAGTTCGAATGAAAAAAAGTATTTTATCCTAAAATTAAATATAACAGAGACTATAGAGAATGCGGTTTTTGACTTACCTAGCTAAATATATAAAATTTATTATAGGGTTGGGCAGTTGTACACTACACTAGTACTACTACTCCAATCCAAGTGCACTATCAGACGGCTCACAAGATGTAGAGGCTAATATAGAGTGATAAATATTGTTGATTATAATTATGGCACAATAATTAAAAGCTTAATTTTATACTTATTAATTAGCTATATATTACTTATTAAACTAAAAGGAGAATAAGGGCACCTAGCATAAAAGGCAACAACAATCACATTAATAGTAATAACTTGAACTATCCCCCTCCCACTATATATTAATACAGAACGCGCTGAACCTACGTGGCTGCTTCTGGTGCTTCAAAATTCTATGTGGCAAAATTACATGCTTCGTTATTAGGCTTGGGTAAATTTAATTTAATTCTAAACCAAAAATAATTAGGTTCGGATTACCATAAATATGTTGATTATTTATGGTCATATTACATGTATTAATTGTATTTTAATATCATTCCTTATTATAACTATTGAATTGTATATATATTTTAAAAGTTAAAAACTTTTGTATTTTTTTATCAGTTTTACATATGTAATATATCAAATTAATCTTCTTTTGATGAGCTTCGATTTGACATTCATATTGTATGTATAAAAAAAATAGTTTATATTTTAACTTTATAACAATATTAAATTACTTTTAATATTAATTAGAAAAAAAAATAAAATTATTTATCAACTAATATATTTATATTTCAAGTAGTTATATGATATAAGTTATAAAAATTAATATAATATAACACATGTAAGTCATAAGTAACACATATCAT